TAAGTATCCCATTCGACACTAAAATTTCTTTACTATTTTTAAAAACTAAGCTTTTTAAATGGTTAGCAATAAAAATATGACGCATTATTTATTAAATCCCCTTAGAAATCGCTTACTGGACTGAAGTTAGAACAGGCACTTAGAAAATTACGATGCTGGGGTTTATGTCACCCCACATATCAGATTCCGGGTTAACACAATTATGATAAAATGTATGCGCCTGAAGTTAATAAATACAGAAATATTTACACGGTAAAAATATATACTCTGAAAATAAATGGTAGGCAATTTATTTCAAGGTATAATCATTGCTTGCATTGAAGAATGACAGTATATCGAAATAACCATCATATCAGGGCTAAGCGAGAAGTAATGCTAGTAAAAACTAGAGTTTTCATATCACAAAAATTTACTTTAAAAATCTTGTAAAATAATATAGGGTTTAATAATTGGTGACGATTTCAGAATTCAATCAAAAGATAAACTAATCGATGACAATATGTTAGTGATGTGTTACCAAAGCCCTTATTGAAAAAAAATAAAAGTACATTTACTGACTTAATAAAAATTTAGCGCTTCATATTAATTTAAAAATTTAACAGTGCTTCTTTCCTAAACTTAATATTTGCCAATCAAAATTTTATAAATTCACTGAGCAACCCTGTTAAAATGTGAATATTTTTTGTTTATACTACTTGTTATGCAAATATTAGTCTCCTCGTTTTTATGCTCCTAATACCTACTTTTCAATATTTTTGTTTTTATTCACGCATTTAAGGAATTTCGGCTAAATAAAACTATGTTGGATTCAAAATTGTACTGCCAATAGCCGTATCACTAACGTCTCATAGTCTTGACTTGATTTTTTAAAACTGTACTGAGTAAATCCATGGAGTTCTTGCCATTAATTGCAGCATTTCATATTTTAACGTTTCAAGAAAAATAATTTAGGTCACTTTGTTGGCAATGGTTTTGAGCCATTATCCTCTAAATTTTCGATATTAGCATTACTTGCAGAAACCAGTAAATAATCATGTCTTCACTACTTTATTCATTTAACATATTTTGATGTCGTTACGTTTTTTATATATGTATGTTTTATTGTCAAAATAAGTTTTTATAATAAATTTAATAAAAAAAATTATTTTCTTAAAGCCCGTTATTAACAGAGTTAAAAATTAGCAAACTATGAAGGAAAATATAGCTTTAAATCGATAGCAAGAAATTGTCGCCTACACATTTGCTAGATAGATACTGAAAATAAAATAATAGAATTTGAGGTTTGTCGGCTTGCAGTCGTCAACTTTAAATCCTGATTGACACAACTTAAAAATTCTAAACTGGCAACTTTATTTAACAAGAATGAGTTTTAACTTACGAGTATGACTATTGGCCAGTGTATTTTTAATTTTTCGATGAGCACTTTTATAACACATACATAACTAACATATTGCCATCGGATTGGCATATGTTTTCACTAAATTCTGTGTTCTTCACCAATTATCAAACTCTAAATTTTTTTATTGATTTCTAAACTATCGTACAAGATTTTTAAAATAAGCTTTTATCATTTTAAAATTCTAATTTTTATAAGCATTACTTGTCGCTTGGGCGTGGTACGTTCCTGTTTGGATATATTTTCATTCAGACAAACAAAATTGTTTACATAATTTTTTGTGTGAATTTCTGTATTTTTTTAGTTTTATGTGCAATTATTTCATCAGAATTTTGTTAAAATTTACTACCGCCTGGCAAATCCTAATATTTAACCTAGTCAATCTACACCACACTGTGAACACCTTATTAGTTGCATATTTACACCGTGTAAACACACCTCTGCGCTTCACTGAATTTCCGTCGCCATTTCAACAGTGCCGCGATTGCTTCCGTCGGGTGTGTGTTACAATTTCTGAAAATTCTAAAATTCGCGTTCAATGTAGTGAAAAGTGTATAGGTTTCTTTAAAATTAAGAAAACTAATTGCTTTGCTAATAGCAAATTTGATAAATATTCTTGCGAGCAGTGTTTTTTGTTAGTTTTCGTGGCGATATAGTTTCGATGCGGTACGCGAGTGGCTCGGGCCGGCCCGAACAAGGGTTTTTTTTTGTATTAAATTGAAGGTAGTTGTGCAATCTTCATCTAATTTGGTGAAAGTTATAAGGTGAGTGAATTGAGAAAGCCAAAGGATTATATGTGTAGATATATGTATGTAAATTGCTGGCTTCCTATCTTTGCATGTTTAGAAAATTTTCATGAGTATGTTATTGGTTTTTTTGTTTGTCATCATTGATCCACTTATATTTCATCCCAATTTATGTTCCCTTTATAAATGCCCATTAAGCACAAAAACTCAATTTCGTTCGGTAGCATGAATTTAGGCGCATGTCGAAACTGCTTACAGTCAACAGTGTTTGTTGAATTTGTGTAGAAGCAGTGTGAGCAGTTGGAGAGCCTGTATATTCATACAAAGGTGGCGACATCATTAGGACACTATTTTTACTTAAGTTTTGACCATTTATTTTCCCTTATTTATTTTAAATTAACTTTTTTATAAAAATGTAGTTTATACTACTAGAGAAAATTCATATTAATAGTTTTGATTAATTAAAAAAAAAAAATATATATATGAAAAGTTGTTTATATGGTATTAAGTTGTATGAAAATTCTTGTTCGAAGATACGTACATACATATGTATGTGCCAGTGTATGCTCTCACCTTAGATACCTAAATACTATGCTAATAAATATGCGAAAATTATGTACACATGCAACTGACAAACTTGTTGGTTATTTGCCGTCGGCATTTCAAAGGGGCTTTTGGTGGAAAAAATCGATTTTTTAATTTTTACCGATTCTAATGGTAGCTGCTATGCTATCCACTTATAATGCAACAAACCGCAGTTTTCTAGCTGCTTTATTTCAAAAATTCACTTTAAATGCCTAATGCCGAATTTCGAAGATTAGGTTGTGCATTGGATTAAGTAGCTTGGCTATAGTCTACCGGAAAAACTGCAAACTGATATCAATACCAGTTCGTTAGAGGCATTTTACTTTTTGAAAATGATGCCATGAATTGAAGTAAAAAAAATTAAGCAAAATTTGTATTGCTTCTATAATATTTAAATGAAACATAATATGTACATATATTAAGGGTACTCACTGTTAAAGTTTATTTTAGGGTCTGGTTACTTTATACCAAAATTACAATCGATATGCGAGTCTCCGAAATATTGTGATTTTTCGATTTTTTCAATAAAGGTTTACTTACAAATTCCATTTTGTCTTCTATTTTTACTTAATTTTGTCAATCGACTGATTAGAAATGGAATTTTATTACAATTGAAAACACATTTTAAACTGATGTATAATTAGGGTGGTATTTTTGGTTTTCAAGCAAGGTAACAAAAAAGAAGATAAACCATCATAAAGCAGTAAAAAATTAAGAGATCGTATAATTGTAAATAAAACAGTAAGGCTTCTGATTAGCATCATAATTTTGTGGTTAAGTCAATTTATTAGACTAATTATAACTAAACAGTTACAATGTTAATGTAAGTGTAAGTATCAAACAACTTTAGAAAAAATTTGCATAAATATTTGCGGTGTTTTTCATTTTTATATACATATATGTAGGTATTTGTGTTTATTGCTGGCAATGCTCTAATGATAAATTGCTTAATTGCGGCTGAGGTATAAAGACTAACCGCGTTTAACAAGGTTTTAAATGCGAAAAGTTAAAAAGCAGAAAACAAAAACAAAATGGCAACAACTAAACACCTACGCTGATGTGTATTAGCATTAGATTGTATCACTTTACAAGCAAAACAAAAAATTCGCCGTACACCCCTGAGTCTAAATTATTTTCGCAAGGCAATTTCGAACAAAAATTTTCGCTCGAACCTAGGGGTTGCCTTTTTTACATTTTTCGGTGACACCTATATTCGGCAAAACATTTTTCTAAATAGTTCTATTGGAATAATCAAAACACTTAATTAGCAAAAGTTTAAATATTTTTGGTGAGCTTTAATTTACTGACATTAGAGTGGTACGTTAGGGTGATAAGAACTGTGACCTGGTGGATAAGTACTAGAAAAATGACAGGGGTATGCGGCGACGCTTTTTACCGGTACAGCCTAATGTGCGTATAATTTTCATATTTATATGTTTACAAATATCTAGAATACTAATTTTTTTAATGCTCTACTTACCAGATAAACGCACAATTCACATACATATGCTTTGCATGTAAATACTTATTGATATTCAGTATATTTAATGTACGCGTTAATACTAAATAAATATTTACTTTCTAATAACATAATTTATTCGGTGGTTTTTCAGCCACTTTTTCACTTTAATTTTAGCAACCAATAACTGTTCTATTTTTTATACTTATGTATATATACATATGTGTGTATGACTGCATGCATGTTTATCTACATTTATGCATACTTGTATAGGTTTTTATAATAATATATATTTATTAAAGCCTACTTAGTTTTATATTCAACGCTGCTATTAACTAACAGATTTTACTTATTTATTTACAAACACTAACAAATTTGTATGTATTTATTTTTGTATTCATTCAATTGTTTATTTAATGATGTCAGCTAATTAGCTTATCCTTGAAGCTGGTTCCAAAAGCAAAGTCTACTCGTCCCTAAGTATTTTGACCTAAGATGTCAACCCTTTTTTTGCTTCAGAGTTTGTATGCATAATACCCCATCAGCTTTCAAGGTTGCGCTAATTAGCTGAACACCTTTCTCTATATACCCTTATAATTATGCTTTGGGTGCATAAATATTTTTTTCTTTAACATTTACATCGATATGAATTCTACATTAACCCCTGCTTGTGTTTATGCTTAGGCTTAGTGCTTACACTTACATTCATATACATACATACATATTTTATTACTTATATGTATACGTATATATAGATTATTAATTCCTCTTTATTTCGCTATTTTCACGTCATCCACTGAAGAATGCCTTTTCCCCCGCTTTATTGTCTCCGTTCTGGCAATCATCTGCAAACGGTACTATCATCGCCGGCGCATATCGAATGTGGCGCAGCAAGAAAGAGTTTGCCATTGGAACAGGCGCATAACTGGAAGACACGATGTAAATGGTCACGACTTTGTGGCGCTCCCAATGAAGGCGGTTGTGCTGTACGCAAATTCGGCATGAGTATTTTGGAGGACTCCAAGCGCAGCTGCAAGTCCGAGGGACCACGAGTTGTGTAGAAGAGGGAAAGGAGAAAGATAATGGACAAAAATAAAATTAAAATTAAAAAAGTAAATAGTTGAACTCTTGATAAGCTTCGAAGAGAGCCCCTCTGGTTTGAAAGTTATGACTAAGGTAATTCCTAATCTTTTTAATTTTAGCCAAAAATTAAACTCTTAAGCAGTTTGAGAACTATATATATCTCAATCTTCATATGTATATAAATAACATTGTCTGCATTTTTTTGGGCGGCGTGATTAAAAAACTTTGTAACCTTGTATTTTATTAAATGCTCTTGACAATCGATAGTAAATTAACGGTATGTACTAATGTACAACATATGTATGTGTATCTGTGGTACTATATACTTACACTGCCATCCAGCGCACTCAGTCGTACATCCTTTAGCGCAGTCACTTCGATTGCTCCGGCACGCGATTGCAAATTTATATCCTTTGCTGCAGTCAGTTCCAGCTGACGTGTTGGAGATTCCAGTCTATGGCAAATTGAATAAAATGAGGTATTTGTGAAGGCCGAAATAAATAAAAAAATCATGTGCATTAGGATGCGTCACTTTCCATATCGAAAAAAATGGCTTCCGCAAAATATTTCAGAACAAGTAAGTTTTAAATTTAAGAGTTCCGTTAAATTCTTCATGATCCAATGATCGGATCTAAACCAAATTAATATAGCATCACCTCTAAAGTAAAATATTTCCTTAAAAAATCAGCTAACGTGGTTTAAAGTTATGCGGTAAAATACATAAAAAATATATTCCGAAAAATTGATAAACTCGTCCTTATTTTGAATTCGGTTAAAAATATTAAGATTTACGTGAGCTGAACTGATTTGAAAACAACTCCAAACTTTAAGTTTTTTATAAAAATACCATTAGTTTTAAAAACTATTTTTTTTCCAAAAAAATCACGTCAGATGATAGAAAAGTTTAAGCTTGGAAGTTCTGCGTAAAAGGAATCAAAGTAATGTGATTTTTGGAGGTATTTTCAAATCGGTCAAGCTCACGTAAATTTTTAAAATTTCGGTTAAAAACCAGCAAATTTTTTTGTGAGACACCCTAATGGACAAAAATATAAGTGTGTATGCCTGGGACAGAAAATAAGAGTTATTACCTTAATTAAAAAAAAGTTTACGTGAAGGTTTCTATAGCACTACAATCTACACACAGTCTTCGTAAATTTGCAGCCCTGTGCACGTTTTCATACTCTCTGTGCTTGACGGTACATGAAAAAATCACGGATTTGATACGTTCGTCCCTAGTGAAAGGTCTAGACGAGCACAGTAGGTAATTACTTTTTCGTTAGCTTCAACACCCTTGTGTTCTGTGACCCAATAGATATATCTGTAGCATTTTCATAAAACAACTTATCTAGAGTTAGGTCATTTCATCTTTGAAGCAATATTTAATTTTGTTTCAAAATAATATTTAAACGACTAACTAGCAAAGGTGTGCTTCAAGACTCCTTTTTCACCACCCACTCCTCTTTATTACCGATCAAAGACCCCTCTCCAAACACAGCTGTGGAAGCAAGCTATTTTATTGCGATAAAACGTTTTAAATCTAAGCTAACCCGAGGTATAACTATTAAATATTAGCCAAGATTCACGGGTGAGATGCGTACATGGCCGACGGAAGCCTGGTGTTGATTCTCGACCTCTATCCCTTTTCCACGAAGATGAATTCCACAAGGCATTTGTTTTCGAGGAGAGATTCAAAATAGAGCTTCGCTGCAAAGCAACCTGCAATAATTCTATTTTGGAGGAATATGTACAGGCATAGTGCTTGCAGTGGTAAACACAGTACAAAAAACCCTAGAAGGCATCCAGACAGGCGTTTATGGCCCCCTTGGGAATGTACCCGAGAATTTTTCAAGAGGGGTCTTTGATCTCAAGCCACCGTGCTACCGTAATGAGAATATATTATTCCTTAGCGACAGTAGTCAGGCGGCATCCAAGGTACTTCTATCATTTGAATACTAGGTCATAGGGGAGTTGAGGCAAATGAGGTAGCGGGTGGATTAGCTAGGGAAGCAGTAAACTCCACTCCACCGGTTCCGAAAAATACCCCGTGGTAGGTTTCGACACCATTAGGGAAGAGCTCAGAGAAGAAACAATAAGAATTAGAGAACAGAACTGGCGAAGCACCATTGGACTTCGCCAAGTCAAAAGCCCAACTTGCCCAAGGATAAACTGATGATTTTTGTTTTAAAAATTTTCTCTCAACATAAAACAGTGTAGAATTTTAAACAATATACTCCCACTTCCCTTAGTTTGTTTACAGTTCATTTATATTTTTCGTCGCCATCAAAGTTACGAATGACAACATTTCTGTTTGCATAAAGTTATGTGCTCAAATATTTTTCACATTTTATACACATTCCATTTGATAGCAAAAATACGAGTTATTGAATTGTTCAGCTGCTTCATTCATGTCCTCAAAATGTATGCTCAGCCACAGGCAAACCCATACATACCTAACTACACCTGTAAATCAGTGAGTGCCGCCTGTTGAAGGCGCAGATTCAGCGTGACCAACGAGCCAATATTTCCAGTCATTGCCATTCGCAACTGGCCGTCAATTTATTTTCCACACTCAAGCAAATACGTACATAGAATTTGCATGCAACCACCAGCCTGCATGCATCCACGAGGGTGCACGCATAGTGGTAAATGATGGCGCATGTGGATGCACGCTGAGCCTATTTGTCTGTCGCGCCTTAAGCGTTTTTCAATATAGTCAACACTTGNGATACTGATACTGAATATAACCACCGCATATTTCAAGTTGAAAATATAAGTTTATAACTTAATTTCGAAGATAGGCCTCAAGAGTACAGCCTTGGAAAATAATAATTCGTTCGGCGGCTTCTCAGATCTATTTAGATGCTCAGGAGGGGATTTCTCCAGACCTGACTTTTATACCATTTTCCATCTTGAGTTCCTGGTTATACCCAGTATACATTTTAATGGAGTTTTCCTCAATGTTTAAGTTGTCAAAGAAGTATTGCTTCGTACATTTTTAGTGCTTTATTAATATAGGTAGTCAGTACCGTTAATTTTGCGTTAAAAAGCCGAACATTGTGGATTGTGAGATTTAGTTAACAGCGGGTTTTTCTTTCACCGAATGGTTTGTGTTGATCTTCGGCATGTGGAATGCTTATCGAGTTAGTCGTTGCTGGCACTGAGAAGACTAGATTCGATGGAGTTCGGAGAAAAAAAGTAGGTTTCAAAGTTGCAGTCAAAGTCAACTTCCGTAATCTGATAATGACAACTTCCTTATTACACCCCGCCTCTATCCTGGAAGGAAGCACCACCGATTTTACACTTGTACGAGTAGTGCGCATTTGATGCTGTCATTCTCCGCTCTGAGCGGACCGCTCATCGATAATCCCTTTCCAGGAAAGCTAAAAGTTCAGAATAACCCCCTAAACGTTATCTCTTTTAATAATTTAAGATTAGCGCCATTGAGTTATGGAGTTCGAAATTTATCAATCTTATAGCCTAGACAGACGGCAACGGTAACCCGGATTAACAGCGGGTTGTTGTGATCCAAATTGCACCCCGAAAGACGGCAATACTGCGGATAAATCGTAAGTGTTGTCATCAAAAGTGGCACTGATCCGTATAAATTTTGAGGATTAGCTGCAAGACTTAATTTAAATCAACTGCAGCTAATTCCCGAAATAGTTCCAAATTGACGAGTTGATCCAAATCAACGCTGCCGTCTGTCTATGCCTTTTTATCGCTTCGTCAACTAGTGTTGCAGAGAATCGAGGAACCGGATCCGGAGAACCGGCTACTTTAATAAACCGAGAACCCGGACCGCCTTACAAGAACCGAAAAACGGGTGTAAAGGAAATTCGATTCCAAGACGCTCAAAAACCGATTCCAGAGGAACCGAAGAACAATTTTAAGAGGCCCAGAAAACGGTTAGAAGGACTGAAAAACCGAAAACCTACAGAACCGAGTAATTTACAAATCTTTGCTTTATGCAGCCATTCTCAGCAGCTGTAAACTTTCTGTTCGTTGGTTCATTTTGTAGCCTGTGTTCGAATGATAACAAGTTTGTAGTGAATGATAAAAATGTTTACAATAAAGCATTTTATCGCGTAAATGTAAAATTCTTGGGCCGGTAAAAGTTGTTCAATTAGATATTTGTAAAAACTGTTTATAATCTTTTTTGCGCTGCTTCGATACCGTTTATTTCAGTTACCACTTTTTTGGAACTGAAATCGACGGAAGCGGTACTTTATAACCTCGGAACCGCACATCACTATCGTGAACTCAACAAACTTATTTGTGATGGAAGCCCGTTGACCGGTACTTTCTGCCCACCTTGCCAGATCATTAAGTGCTGATTTTAGTATCTCACTGATGAATCTCCCTACGACTGCGATGACTAGTTCATCTGCACCTATGATGGGAGGACATAAAAAATGGAAGAAACACTGTCGAGTTAAAGGAAAAATAAAAATCCCCAGCCTTTCTGCGGTCCATTCAATGGCTACACGGGACGGACATCGCTTACTCACTATTTAACCATAGTAAGACGGTTAGACCATCGCTGGATGTCTGCCGGTGCCCTGCACGCTGGGACCTGTGTATAGTGGAACTTTTTAATGAGACTGACTGCAGGTTCTGTGGGCAGGCAGAGGTAGCTTCAATATACTATGTGATTGCCCACGTACAACTAGGCTTAGACGTTTATACCTTCAGTAACAATTATTGTCTTCACCAAAATCTGGAATATGACACCTCCGAAGTGCTAACTTTGTAAATCGCCAAAGGTTGGCGTAATTTCTTATGGGTTAGTAAAACGGATCTAGCTAGATCGCAGCGCTAGTATGCTCCAACTACAATAACAATATGTACATTAGGGTGGACCAATTTTTTCAGGCATCCCCACAATTGAAAAGGATACTCTTTTTTATTCTGAAATTGGTTAACATTTAACCGTGCCGCCGGAACTTTGAAGTTTTCTATATACTATATGTATTTTATATGGTAAAAATACATTTTTTCATCGTTTAAAATGATGTTTTTGTGCGAATAAAAATTTTACTCTTCAAAAATATTTAAACAATAAAATTATGTTGGATATTTACCTTAAAAGATTAACTTACAACATATTCTTAACTGAACAGCTGATCCCTTATCTACAAAAATTAGCTATTTTACAACGCTTTTATCAACTTGCAATGTTGTGCGTCCAGAAGCTTTCAATGTTGTGGATCCAGAAACTTTCAATGTTGTGTGTCCGACACCAAAGCAAAGCTTTGAAAAGTTCCTATAAAAAAGCATAGTGCATAGGGCGACAGCTGTAGTGAATAGGGCGAGGTAGATGACATCTAGATGTCGCCCTATGTACTACGTTTGCTACAGCGGAAATAGACGACACGCCATTTCTTTAAATAANAGGTAGATGACATCTAGATGTCGCCCTTGTAATACGTTTGCGTAGCTAGCAGCAAAGTGGCGAAACGATGACGGCTAAAATTAATTGGTGCTCGTTTGTATGTACATACATATGTAAATGCATGTGTGTGCACCTTTCTATTAATATCGTTGAATTATTTTAATATCTATTGCAAAATTTTATTCAGACAGGACTAAAAAGTAGAAAATAATATTTCTCAGTCCCATAGAATTTGTTTTGATAACTTTTGATTTTGAAATTTTAGCAAAAGTCATTATAAACAATCTATGAAATTGAAAATGAAAAGCGTGGGGCGCATGTAATACACTTGAATTGATATGAAAAGTAATATATGTATGTGTGTATGTGGGTATATGAATAACGACCGCTTAAAAACCGATTTCAAAATTCTACTTTCGCTGTAGAAATTTTAGGTCTGCGTTATGTAGTTTGACTATTGTCAATTAAATCGAATGCTTTGTATTGCATGCGCTCCACGTTTTTCATTTTCAATTTCATAGATTGTTTATAATGACTTTTGCTAAAATTTCAAAATCAAAAGTTATCAAAACAAATTCTATGGGACTGAGAAATATTATTTTCTACTTTTTAGTCCATTTATAAAAGCGTTGTATATTAAAAGGTTTTTTTTATATTATTTATTATGTGTTCGTAACCAAATCACGAATGTTTTGAAAAAATAATTGTGTAGTATAACTTGTTAGCTAAATTTGCACCATAATTCCATTCATAGTAGATTTTTGAAGGGAAGTATTTCATTCGATAAAAAATCATTATTTTTAACGATTCTATAGCAATTTTACGAAAAGAATATTTTGCCCTAAAAAATATATGAAACGTTTTAAGACCCGGCGGCACGATATTTTCCATTCTCTATAATTCTGTGGAGTGGCAGGAACAAAATTTCAAAAATTTTATTTTCTTGTATATTTTTGCACCACTCTAGTGTAAATAGCAATAATTTTATTACGTTATGTCCACATATGCTATATAGTTACTGAATAAGAACACATTCCTTTACACATATTTACTGCACGAAATACAATTTTTAAGAATTTACTTAAGCCCTGAGAAAACTTAAACTTAAACTGACCAGTTGCAGCTACATTCCCTGATAGATTTTCTTTTTTTTTTTAATTTCTCAAAGTTTCCTCCTGCTCCGCATATCTACTCACCTCAGCTCGCGCGCCGGTTCGGCGCGTATATGTGGCGTTTGTATGGATTCCCGAAATATGGCGCCACCTTCACCGTCAATTCGCAATGCGTGTGCACCGATTGTGACTTCATTTTGATTTACAGAAAATAAATTTCGCCCGTTGGTATCATTGATGCGAATTTCCTTCGCTATGCACTCGAGCTTATCGTGCCCAAGAAATAAATGATTCTCCAGCATGCCATTCGCGTCACGTGTATTGATTGAAAAATTACGTGATGATTCTGTTGATGATATTTGGTTGCCGCAAGGTGAGGCGCGCAGCGAATTTGGTAACCACAGCAGCAGCAGCAGCAGAAACGGTCGGAGTTGTCGCGACAAATCCCATTTGGGTTGTAGGTGTGGCGAATATGTTGTCGATGTTTGACGTTTGTTGCCGCATAGTTTTTGTTTGTTTTTGATTAGTTGTTGTTTGATCGGCGATTCGATGTTCGTTCGTTGATTTTGGTTTCAGTTTCAGTTTCGGTAGTCAATGTGAATTACGGCATAGATGATGACATCCATCCGGGTGCACCGAAAATATATAAATATGAATAAGATTTGTAAGTTTAGATAGTGCGAACAGCAAATATACAAATGTCAACTAAATTTGTGTAATATAAATAGCAATAAATAAAAGGCGAGTGGATGCATGTACGCAGTGCGACCCAAAACCACCAAATAACAAATGTTATACTATCAGGCTGAATGCCAATCTGTTCTGCGCACAATGCCAGAAACATACTCTTCAAAAAAAAAAAAAATAGTAGCGCAAAATAAGTATGCTATCTACTTTCTTACAAATAAGCGTGCAGACCAGACCGCAAGATTAGTGTGACATGATAGCGGAAACGGAAATAAAATTTTTGCTCGCACGTTTCAGCGCAACTCACGGCCACGGAGCCAGTCAACCGAAGGCGTCGACGACTTTGCTAGCGCACAGAGCGTACGAAATTTACTTCACCTTTTTGCTACTACTAACTACGAACACAACTGCCCGACTAGCGAACGTG